TTTTGCGACATCGGCGACAAAACGTCCATATCGAAAGGAACAGTGCAATCACTATCAGGGCGACCGCAAGGGGAGTGGAAGTGTATGTCCATGAGGAATTAGGCAGAAGTAGGGCCAGGAGCACGCAGAGTAGGGTGAGGAGGATGAGGGCGAGGATGACGAGGAGGAGGAGGATACCCTGGAGCAGGAACTGTGAAACAGCCCTGACCTGCTTCTGTTCACGACGTTTGACGTCTGGGGCTGCACGTCACCCAGCATGACCTCGCACCGCCTCGCCCTGCGTTGCCTCGCCTCCTCCTCCGACTCTGCGAGGCGCGCCGTCTTGCCTCCTGGGCGCCCGGGGCCGCCGCGAGGCGCTCTCGCACCGGTTCCTGAGGGTAGCCGACCTGCGGAAGGCCCGGGCGAGGGGTGGGGGGGTGGGGGGCGTTCCGATTCCGATCCACCCCCCTACCCTTCCCGCTCCTCCTCCTGCTTCTGCTCCTCGTTCTGCTCCTCCCTCTCTCATGTCCGTCCTCTCCCTTCTCCTCCTCCTCCTCCTCGTCCTTTTCCTCTTCGGAAGGGCAGGAGGATGCAAAAAATGGCGCGGGCGTTCTTCCTTCAATCTCGCCCTCTGGGGGAGCCCAGACACCATCGCCTCGCGAATACATGACGGAAGGTTGTTGACCGTTTGCGGCCTTGTTTAGGGCCCGTATCAGGCTTGAGGACTGTCAAAAACTAATCAGGATTATTGGTTGGTCCTAAGGAAGGCGTCGAGACCTTTGGGGGTCCACGGTGTGAAAAATCACGGCGTCGGGGGTGGCACGTATGGTGGGGGGAGGATTGAGGATCGGAAAAACACGACATGCGGCGGAGTTGTTTCCTGGGGGGGCCCGTGTCGGGCCCGCGGTGACTCCTTCAAGGTACATGGGGTGAAAAACCAGCCAGGATGGACCCCAGACGGGTAGGGGCCCGTCTTTAGCGGATAGAGTGTCGGATGTAGAGGGGGGTTAAATCCAGGGTGTGGTCATGGAGCGAACCCAGCTTGAGCGCTGACATTTCTCTCATCCAGGTACCGTCCGGAGCGGGTTTCCTCTAACACCACCTCTGGCCCTACCCCTCATTACGTCCCCCCGAAAGAGAAGTGGGCCACCGAAGCCTACATTCTCAGCGAAGGTCAGGTCAATGAGGACCTCATGGAGGTCTACCAGGCGGGCCGCTCGGCGTCCCTGGGGGACGCTGCCCCCCGAGGACGCGGCAGCCCTGATCAGGAGGCCCCTGAGGATCCCGATGATGATGGGGGAGCGGAGCTTGGCAGAATGGCTGGGCTTGGTTGGAGGGAACTCGCACCTTTCCTTCTGGCTGGTGGCGGAGGCATTCTTTGTTGCAGGCTTGTTTTGGAACCAGCCAGCTCCCGACTTCGTTTCGTCCTCTTCTGCTCGTGCTGTGGAGCAGTCTGCCCCGGCGGTAAGCGCCTCCGGCGCCTCCGTGAGTACTGCAGCGGGAAGTTTGCGTGAAAGGGGGAATTGAGCAGCTCAGGCGCATAAAACGGGGCCAATTCCCCCACTACAGGAAGGGGGATTTAATTCGGTAGCAAATCATGGGAGCCTGGTGTACTCTCTCTCAATTCCGTCTTTAGCGTCGACTGGAGTCGATGAGCGTTTGGCAGTCGATGAGGTAGGGCCAATTCAGCGTCGGTGAGCGTCGATTAGCGTCGATTTAGCGTCGATTCGCGTTGACTAGCGTCGATTAGCGTCGATTCGCAGGAGCCGACAAGATGGTATGGGGGGCTCCCATGAGTTGCCACCGGAGGTTTACGGCTAGGTCGGGCATGTCCCCTTACAGGCCGACTTTGGACGAAAGATAAAACAGACTCCAAACATATTCAACAATTGCCAACAAATGCTCACACAATCGTCCCCATAGTATTTTTTACTACTGTTGATATTCACCCCGTAGAGGGACATGCCCGACTTCAGCTTACGGAGCTGCGCCTCGGTCGGCCCCCCCGCGGCGTGCTGCCCGCCGCCCTGCCCGGCGCTGCCGGAGGAGGCCGCCAGCCTGCTCGTCCCCGCCGCCGCCGCGCCTCTCTGGGTCGACGTGGGGGCGGGGGGGACTTCGGTGTGGAGGGTTTTTCCGAAGGGCTCAGGCGACCCGTCCTCCTCCTCTCTCCTCCGCCTCCTCCTCTCTCCTTCTCCTCCTCCTCCTCCTCCTCCTCCTCCTTTTTCTCTCTCCTCCTCCTCCTCCTCCTCCTTGCCCTTTCCTCCTCGGGTCCCCTACGGCCCCGGGGGAAGCCGTCCACTTCAGTGGGAAGGAGGTCGATCTCTGAGACGGGAATGTAACCGTTACATTGATTCGGGCATGTCCCCTACAGGAGCAATATGCAAGAATAGCCGAAAATTAGTATGGGGGACAATTTTTGGACTATTTTTGACCACGTTTTTTTTCTGATAATTTTAGTTTTTCGTCCGAAGTCCGCCTGTAGGAGGACATGCCCGACCTAACCATAACCACCGCCTGGGGGATCGATCTTCGCGGACCTCCACAGGCGGTGGATGCGGATCTATTCGGGCGCCCGGGGGCCAGAAGATATCCATATCCACCGCCCGCCAGGGCACCAGGGCGTCGGTTCCCAGGCGGTGGATACGGATAAGTCACCACCTCGTATTCAGTCGTGCTCCGAGCGTTCGGCCTGACGGCCGACGACCGTTCACGGCTGCAGGGGCTGGGTCGACAGGCGATCCAGCGGGCGCCTGCAGGATCGGGCTCCGGGTTTGAAGGGTGGTCTGATCACGAGGGCCTCACGTAGGCCAGCCTGACCGCCTTTAGGGCCAAGCCAAGCCAAGCCACGCTTCCCTCCTCCTTCCTCCCTCCCCCCTCCACTATCGTTGAGACGCTGAAGTAAGGATCACTTTAGGTTCTGGAGGGGCTTTGGCTTTCGGGCTGTTCCTTGCATCTAGGTCGGGAAACCTATTTGTGTGGCCGAGGCTTGCCGTGGCCACAAAGCCACTTCGATCCTTATCTGGCGTGGCTCACGGTAGCACGATGACCAAGCTTTCGAGGCGATTTTGGCCGTGGTTGTGGGGGCCTTCTGGTCCAGGGAGGGTAAGCGCGTGCGGATGATGATGACGATGCTGCTGCTGCTGATGATGATGACGATGATGATGATGACGACGATGATGATGATGATGATGATGATGATGATGATGATGATGACTACGACGACGACGATGATGATGATGCTGATGCTGATCATGCTTATACTGATGATGACGATGACGATGGCGATGACGATGACGATGACGATGACGACGATGATGACGACGACGATGATGATGATGATGATGAGGATGGTGATGATGACGATGATGACGGTGATGATCATGATAGTGATGATGATGAAGATGATGATGATGATGCTGATGATGATGATGGTGATGATGATGATGCTGATGATGATGATGATGATGATGGTGAACCTGATTATGATGATGATGGTGATGATGATGAGGACGATGATGATGATGATGATGCTGATGATGATGATGGGGAGGATGAGGACGACGACGATGAGGAGGAGGAGGACGGGGAGGAGGAGGAGGAGGTGGATGAGATGAACAGAAGGATAATGAACAGGGGAATGATGAAGTGGATGATGACGATGACGATGACGATGATGATTAAAATGATGATGTTGATGACGATGATGATGATGATGATGATGATGATGATGATGATGATGATGATGATGATGACTACGACGACGACGATGATGATGATGATGATGATGATGATGGTGATCATGATTCTACTGATGATGACGACGATGACGATGACGATGGCGATAATGATGGCGATCACGATGATGATGACGATGACGATGATGATGCTGATGATGATGATGATGATGATGACGATGCTGATGATGACGATGCTGATAATGGTGATGATCATGATAGTGATGATGATGATGCTGATGACGATGACGATGATGATGATGATGATGATGATGATGATGATGATGATGATGATGATGATGATGATGGTGATGGTGATGGTGATGATGCGGATGATGATGGTGACCATGATTATGATGATGATGGTGATGATGGCGATGACGATGATGATGATGATGCTGATGATGATGCTGATGATGATGATGATGATGAGGAAGATGATGTGGAGGATGAGGAGGAAGGCTACGATGAAGAGGAGGAGAAGGAGGACGGGGAGAAGGAGGAGGAGGAGATGGATGAGATGAAGATGAAAAGAAGGGTGATGATGATGATGATGAAGTGGATGATGATACTGATGATGATGATGATGATGATGATGATGATGATGCTGATGATGATGCTGATGATGATGATTATGATGATGGTTACCATTCGTATTATTACTACTATTGTTTCCGTTATTATTAGAACGATGATGGCGATGACACTGATGATGAGGATGGTGATGATGATGCTGATCATGATGATGCTGATGATGCCGAAGACGATGCTGATGCTGATGACGATGATTATGGCGACGATGATGCGTCTGATGATGATGCTGGTAACGCTGATGCTGCTGATGATGATGACGAGGATGGGGACACTGATGATGCTGATTTTGCTGATGACGAGGCTGATGATAAAGATGGTGATCGCGATGGTGAAATTGACGATGATGATGATGATGATGATGATGATGATGATGATGATCATGATGCTGATATTGCTGATTGTGATGAGGATGAGGATGCGGATGAGGATGAGGATGCTGCTGTTGATGATGATGCTGATGATGATGACGATGATGATGCTAATGCTGATGCTGACAGTGCTGATGATGATGATGCTGATGATGATGGTGATGCTGATGATGATGATGATGATGATGATGATGATGATCAAAGTGATGCTGTTAATAATGATGACGTTAATGGTGCTGCTGCTGATGATGATGCTGGTTAGCGTGATGATGATGATAATGATGCTGATGATGGTGATGATGGTGACCATGATGATGATGTTGAGGATGCTGATGATGATGCTGATGCTGATGATAAGGGTGCTGTTGATGATGACGATGGTGATGATAATGATGATGATGATGGTGATGATGATGGTGGTGGTGGTGGTCCCGATGATGATAGTGATGATGGTGATGATGATGGTGGTGGTGATGGTGATGATGATGATGGTGATGGCGATGGTGATGCTGATGATGCTGTCGCTGATGATGCTGCCGCTGATGATGATGAGGGGGAGGAGGATTAGAGAGGAAGAGAGATGAGGAGAGGGAACGAGAGACGGAGCGAGAGGATCAGAGAGGAGTAGCGATGAGGAGGGAGGAGGATCGAGGAGGAGAAATGATAAGGCAAGAAAAGAAGGGCGGAGAGAGGCAGGGAGAGGAGGAGGAGGAGGAGGAGGCAGAGGAGTAGAGCGGGGGAGGCAGGAGGAGGAACAATAAGGAGAGAGGAGGAGAGGAGAGAGGAGGAGAGGAGGAGAGAGGCGGAACGAAGCGGAGGGGGCGGAGGGACGAAGAGAAAGGAGGGGGAAAGGGGAGGAGAGGGAATAGGAGGAGGAGGGAGAAGAGAAGGGGGATGATGATGATGATGATGATGATGCTGCCGCTGATGATAATGATGCTGACGATGATGAAGAAGACGATGATGATGGCGATGCTGATGATGCAGCAGCTGATGATGACGACGATGGTTCTGATTGTGATGTTTCTAGGAACCTTGGTGCTGATGCTGATGATGATGATGATGATGATCAAAGTGATGCTGCTGATGCTGCCGCTGATGATGCGACTGATGATTCTGATAATGGTGATGCTGATGTTGGTGACGAAGAGATGGCTGTGATGATGGCGATGATGGCGATTATTATGATGATGATGCTGATGATGGTGATGATGATGCTGACGATGGTGATGATGATCATGATGATGATGATGCTGACGATGCTGATGATGATGGTGATCGCGATGGTGAAATTGATGATGATGATGGGACTGGTGGTGGTGGTGGTGCTGGTGATGATCCTGCTGACGATGACGATGATGATGATATTGTCATTGTTGATTATGATGATCATGGTGATTGCGATGGTGAAGGTGATGATGGTGGTGGTGGCCGTGGTGGTGGTGCTGGTCATGACGAAGATGATGCTGATGATGCTGATGATGATGACGATGATGATGATAATGATACTGACGATGATGATGCTGATGATGGTGATGCTGATGATGACGATGATGACGATGATGACGATGAATATGACGATGATGCTGATGCTCATGACGGTGATGATGATGGTGATGAGAATGAGGATGAGGATGAGGATGATGATGCTGATGATGCTGTTGATGATGATGATGATGATGATGGTGCTGATGATGATGGTGGCGGTGGTGGTGATGATGATGACGATGACGATGATGATGCTGATGATGATGACGATGATGATGATGCTGATGATGATGATGACGATGATGATGTTAATGATGCTGATGATGATGATGCTGATGCTGATGCTGATGCTGATGCTGATGCTGATGATGAAGATGATGATGATGATGATTGTGATGGTTATGGTGATGGTGATGGTGATGGTGATGATGATGCTGATCATGGTCATGATCATGCTGATGATGATGATGATGACGATGACGATGACGATGACGATGACGATGATGATGATAATGATGATGATGATGATGATGATGATGGAGGTGGTGGTGATGATGACGATGACGATGTCGAGGATGACGATGTTGATGATGATGATGATGATGCTGATGATAATGATGATGATGAATGATGATGATGATGATGATGATGATGATGATGATGATGATGATGATGATGATGGATGATGTTGATGATGATGGTGTGGTGGTGGTGGTGGTGGTGGTGGTGGTGGTGGTGGTGGTGGTGCTGGTCATGATGACAATGATGATGATGAAGATGATGTGTGATGAATGATGATGATGATGATGGATGATGATGATGATGATGATGATGATGATGATGAGGAGGAGGAGGAGAGGAGGAGGAGGAGGAGGAGGAGAAGGCGGAGGAGAGGAGGAGCAGGAGGAGGAGGAGGAGGAAGAGGAGGAGGAGGAGCAGGAGAAGGAGGAGGAGGAGGAAGAAGAGGACGAGGAGGAGGATGAGGAGGAACAGGGGAGGCAGGAAGTGGAGGAGGGGTTGAGGGGGGGAGGAGGTGGAGGGCCACGACGACCACGACGACCGCGACGACGACGATCTTCCCCGAGCGGTCGCCTGCGGCCCGCTGGGGGGGGGGGGCGCCGGTCTGCGTCAGGCCTGCACTGGGCCCCTCGACGCCAGCAATGACCTGACGTCCGACGCGGCGCGCCGCGCCGCGTCGTCCGCCAGAGTGCCTCGCAGATCTCGTCGTCGTCGTCGTCGTCGTCGTCGTCGTCGTCGTCGTCGTGGTTGTCGTCTCTCCTTTCTTCCTCCACCTCCTCCTCCTCCTCCTCCTCTTCCTCCACCCTCCATTCCTGTCCCTGAATGATAACACCTCCCTGTCGCATCCCGAGACGTGTCGGTAGGGCGGGCCGGGCGTTTCGCCTGAGACCTCTTCATCATGTCTGAGCCAGAAGAGGGCGGGTTCTTTTCACAATGCGGCCCTCGCCTTAGCGCCGCGTGCATTCGTTTGAAAAGTTTGCAGAAGTTTTTCGGATGGAGAGCGGATCGTCTTCAAAATGTTGCTGTCGCCTTGGCGCCACGCGCATTCATTTCAGGCTTGCAAGAGTTTCTCGGATGGAGGGCGGTTCCCTTTCAACATGTGTGTTCTCGCGTTTGCGCCGTGCGCATTCGTTTGAGCCATTTGCAGGGATTTGACGGATGGAGGGCGGCTCTTTTTCAACATGTTTCTGTCGCCTCAGCGCCGCGCGCATTCGTTTGAAGAGTTTGCAGGAGTTTGACGGATGGAGGCCTGGTCGTTCTCAAAACGTGGCTCTCGCCTTGGCGCCGATTGCATTCGATTGAAATTTTGAGATGGTTTCACGGATGGAGGGGGGTGGTTTCAAAATGTGGCTCTCGCCTTAGCACCGCGCACATTCGTTCGTGGGTCGTTTTCAAAATGTGGTTCTCGCTTCAGCGCCGCGCACAGCAGTTCAACGGATTCCACCAGTTGACATCCCAGAAATGATGTCCCTACACGATTCAGGATTATGAAGGCGCGAGAGTCACGCTGATTCGCGGCGTTGAATTCCCAGGAAGTGATCTGGCATGATGCATGATCGTCGGGTGGCAACAGTAAAGTTGATTCGAGGCGTTGAAGTCCAATGAGTGGTGTTTCGGCACGATCGGATTCTCTGACGGCTGTCTTTCAACGGGGCATTTCTAGCAGGGAAAATATCTTCTTGCAGAGACCTATGAAAATGGGATTGTGGAGGGAGGGTTTATTGCAACATCGTTGATGCGCCTTGGGTTTACACTGGTCCCTCCTCCTCCTCCTCCTCCTCCTCCTCCTCCTCCTCGTCTCACACTTCCTCCTCCTAACTTGTTCCTTCTCTGCCGCCCTCCTCCTCCCTTCTCCTTCTCCTCCTCTCCTCCTCATCCCCTCGCTCCTGCTCTTGCCTCATCCTTTTCCTTCTTCTCTTCCTCATCCCTCCTCCTTCGCCTCCTCCCCCTTCTCCTCCTTGTCCCTCCCTCCCTCCCTCCCTTCCTCCCTCCTCCCTCCTTGGGAAAGGGAGCGAACAACGTATACTATCAATGCAAAGACGGCATGGTGGGGTGGGGGGTTGACCGACAATCACGTACGAGTGGGCTCGATGGTTCCTGTCCCCATCCGTCAGCAAACGTAATGGGCAGTACGGTTGCCAGGAGGTCGAGCTCGGAGAAGGAAGGGGAGGACCAGAGTAAGCCCAACATGTGTACAATCTGTTGCAATGCGCCCTCCCGTCTCGAGTCGCCTCCTCAGGGGTCACAGCAACATGTTTGCCACTACGCGAGGCGCCCCGTTGAAAGGCGAACTCCTCGTGTGATTGCAGTTCCGGCGGAGCTCCGCTTAAGAAAGGAGTTGGGCTCCATCTCTCGAGCTCCAAGGAATGCCGATGATGACTATGATGACGATGCGGACGTGCGGATGGCAAAGACAGGGACGGGAGGAGGGGGGAGGAGGGGGGAGGAGGAGGAAGGACGCGGGGCGCTGCTGGTCCAAAACGAGGACCCAATGATCACCACAGGATGGCTGGGACAGAGGAGTCGGGAATTCTGCCTCTGTCCTTCGAGCTCCAAGGGATGTGGACAAGGCGGGGTCACAGCGTGTCAGGAGGAGGGAGGAGGGAGGAGAGAGGTGGAGGAGGGAGGAGGGAGGAGGGAGGATGGGGGAGGAGGGGGAGGAGGGGGAGGAGGAGGAGGAGGAGGAGGAGGAGGAGGAGGAGGGGTCACAGCGTGTCAGGGGGGAATGTCCGGCAGCAGCCCCGCTCGCAGGAACAAAGGGAGTGGCCCTCCGTCCGTGTCTCAGAGCGTGAATTCGCTTCCAGGCAAAACCAAGCCATACCACGCGCCTCCTCTTCAAGCGGCCTGACCAATACAGGCTGCAATTTGGCATCGTTGGGTATCTCTTGGAAGCGAGGGTGGTCAAAAGCGAGGGAGGTTTGTTTTCCCCCTAGTGTCGCCGCCGTTGCACTGCTCTGGGCTCCGGGCGCTCGGATCCAGCAGTGGCTCGCGCGAGAGCCCTGCTCTGAAGAGGAGCAGCCACACACGTGCAGCTGCTGCGCATTCCTAGTACAGAACCGCTATCCTCCCGTCCGTGTAGCCGTTTGAAATTCCAAGTTTCAGGGTCGACAGTGATGAAGTTTCAGCCGAAACGCCTGGTTTGCCATAGCGACACGTCCGGTGGTGCGACAGGAAGGAGCTACCTAGAAGGGAGCGGGTTGGAGAAGGAGGAGAAGGAGAAGGAGAAGGAGGAGGAGGAGGATGAGGATGAGGATGAGGAAGAGGCGGAGGAGGAGGAGGAGGAGGAGGACGATGATGATGATGAGGAGGAGGAGGGAGAGGATGTGGAGGAGGAGGAGGAGGAGGAAGATCACGGTTCTCGACCGTCTTCGGCGGTCTTCGGCGGTCTTCGGCGGTGTTCAGGTGTCCGGGCGCGCGTGCTCTTGGTAGTCTCGGCTCGGCGGGAGCCTCGGGACGGTGGCGCTGTGTCTCCAGAGGCCTTCTGTGGGCCACTGGATGGCCTGTCAGGGTTGACGCGGAGGGGGCGGATCGGGAAGGGGGGGGATGTAGGGTTTCTCCGAAGGGCTTCGACGACCCGTCCTCCTCCTCCTCCTCCTCCTCCTCTTTTCTCATCATCACCACCACCATCATCGTCATCATCATCATCATCACCATCATCATCATCATCATCATCATCATCATCACCATCATCATCATCATCATCATCATCATCATCATCATCATCATCATCATCATCATCATCATCATCATCATCATCATCATCATCGATCATCATCATCATCATCATCATCATCATCATCATCATCATCATCATCATCATCATATCAGCAACATCCCATCATCATCATCATATCATCCATCATCATATCATTCATCATCACCACCACCATCATCATCTCATCATCATCATCATCATCATCATCCTCATCATCAGCATCATCATCATATCATCATCATCATCATCATCATCATCAATCCCATCATCATCTCATCATCCTTCTTTCCCCCCTCCTCCCTCCTTCTCCTCCTCATTCCTCCTCCTCCTCTCTCCTTCCTCCTCCTCCTCCTCCTCTTCCTCCTCCCCCCTCCCTCCCCCTCCTCCTCCATTCTCTCACCCCCCTCCCCTCCTCCCCCTTTCCTCCTCCTCCTCCTCCTCCTTCCTCCTCCCCTTTCCTCCTCCTCCTCTCTCTCCTCCTCCTCCTTCTCCTCCTCCTCCTCCTCCTCCTCGTCTCCTCCTCCTCGGGTCGCCTACGGCCCCGGGGGAACCGTGCAGGGGGTCTTGCGAGAGCTGCTGTACGCAGCTGGTGTCCGACCCGCCGCTGTCGGGCCCTCTCCTTGGTGCGTGGCCGCGTCCGACGCCGGGCGGCGGCGGAGAAGCCAGCTGCGGGCAGCCGATTGGCCACTCCATGCGCTCCCCAGACAGCGGTGCTGCGAGATCACCGGATTTCGAAGACAATCGGGCCTCTGCGAAAGAAATGTATGCGGCCCCCTTGCCTTCAGCAAAGGGATGGGGAGCTACCACAAGTGCCGGTCGCACCGTCGACCGCACGCCGCCGACTCACCAGTCCTTGTCCCCTTCCTTTCCCCGCCTTTTTGGCTCTGTGTCTCTCCGCTTCCCCCTGCTTGCCGTTCGCTGTCTTCCTCGCTTCTTATCCTGTTTCCAGTGGCGTCCGCGCTTTTTGCGCCGCTCGTGTGACGTTCCAGGTTTGTCTAGCGGTTTTTAATCTCTCGTCGTGGAGCCAGCTGTGCGTCGGTCTTTTTCATAGAGGAAAGAAGCCCTTGCTCGTCCGCCCCGACCTTGAGGCTCAGGCACCTGAGCGATGGAAGAGAACGGGGTCGACTGCGCTGGCATTCGCGCGTAAGCTGCCCGCGTAAGGTCGCGCGTAAGCGCCCTACTCTCCACGCGGTGTGCCACGCCTGCGGTCCGCGGAAGCCGCCGCGTACGGTCGCTATGCCATCTCGCGTAAGACCTCTTCCTCTTCGTCGCTCACCTGGCGGCTCGCTTTGCTGCGAGGCATGCCCCCGGCCCGACCCCCCGAACTCCAGGCCCCTTCCAAGGTCGGGCGTCGAGTAATGGGGGTGCGATCAATGGGGGGGGCTGATGTTGGTGCGAGCGGCTCGGCCGATTTTTGCGGTCTCGGGGGGAGCCTCTCGGGCAGCCGCCGAGGAGGCAGGGTACTCCTTTCCGCGTCAGGCCCTGGCAAGCCTGAACTGCCGCCAGCCATGGCGTGCTCCTCTTCCCCAGGCCGCGGGGGGGGCTTCGGAGGGGATGCTCGGATGCTGAAGGAACGTGGGCCTTGGAGACCATGAGGGCTGCAGGGGGTTCAGGTGGGGTGGGGGTGGGGGAAGAGAGGGAGGAGGAGGAGGAGGAGGGGGCGAAGGATGAGGGATGGTGATGATGATGCTGCTGATGATGATGATGACGACGACGATGATGATGAGGATGATGATGATGATGATAATGATGATGATGATGATGATGATGATGATGATGATGATGATGATGATGATGATGATATTGATAATGCTGCTGATGATGATGATGATGATGGTGCTGGTGGTGGTGGTAGTGGTGGAGGTGGTGATGATGGTGGTGGTGATGATGATGATGGCGGTGGTGTTGGTGGTTGTGATGATGATACTGATGATGATTGTGATGATGCTGCTGCTGCTGATGATGAGGATGAGGATACGGCTGATGATGATGATGATGATGATGATGATGATGATGATGATGATGCTGATGCTGATGATGCTGGTGATTATGATTATGATCATGAGGATAAGGATGATGATGCTTATAACGATACTGATGATGATGCTGGTGGTGGTGGTATTGATCATGATGATGATGATGCTGCTGCTGATGATGAAGATCATTATGATGATGGCAAAGATGATGCTCATGATGATGACGATAATGATGATAATGATGGTGGTAATGACGATGAGGACGATGATGAGGATGAGGATGAGGATGAGAATGAGGATTATGATGACGATGATGCTGATGATCTTGATCATGATGATAACGATGATGATCATGGTGATGATGATCATGCTGCTGATGCTGATGATTATGATGATGATGATGCTGATGATGATGATGATGATGTCGATGACGGTGACAATGATGATGACGATGCTGATGATGATGACGATGTTGATGATGATGGTGATGATGATGACGATGATTATGATGAGGGTGGTGATGATGCGGAGCAGGATGATGAGGATGAGGATGATGGTGCCGGTGCTGGTGATGATGATGATGATGATGATGATGCTGATGATGCTGATGATGATGATGGTGATGAGGCGGTTGGTTTAGGAGGATGATGATGATGACCAGGATTTGGATGAGGATGTGAATGTGAAGGTGATGGTGGTTGTGATGCCGATGTCGATGCTGATGTTGATGATGATGCTGCTGCTGATTATGTTGACGATGATGATGCTGATGATGATGATGATGCTGATGATGATGATGATCACGATGATGATAATGATAATGGCGATGATGACGATGACGATGGTGATGATGCTGCTGATTGTGATACTGATATGATGATTGTGTTGATTATACTGGTGATGATGATCTCGATGCTGATGCTGCTGATGCTGCTGATGCTGATGATGCTCATGATGATGAGGATGGGGAGACTGATGACTATGACGGGGATGGGGATGGGGATGAGTATGAAGATGATGACGATGATGATGGTGATGCTGAGAATGGTGATGGTGATGGTCAATATGAGGATGACGACGCTGACGATGACGATGCCGACGTCGATGACGTCGAGGTCCTCGATGATGATGACGATGATGACGATGATGATGGTGATGACGATAATGCTGATCATAATGATGATGGTGATAATGACGACGACGATGCTGCTGCTGATGCTGATGCTGCTGCTGATGATGATGATGCTGATGCTATTTATGATGATGATGATTGCGGTGTTAATGGAGAGGATGGATTAGGAGGCCCTACTCCTTCGTCATTCTTCGGCTTCGCCTTCCTTCTTTCTCCTTCATCTTTCCTCTTTCCTCCTTCGCCTTCGCCTTCGCCTTCGACACTGCCTTTGCCTTCATCACGTCGTCGTCGTCGTCGTCGCCGTGCTCTTACTTCAGATCCTCCTCCTGCTCTTGCTCCTCCTGCTCCTCTTCTTCTCCCTCCTCCTCCTCTTCCTCCTCCTCTTCCTCCTCTTGTGTCTTTGTTTCCTTGTCGCGGTGACCGCGGTGCCAGCAGCGGGCGTCGCGTAATGCAAAGGTTCGCCGCTCTTACAGTGACATCTTATTGTCCTATTCTTCCGCCCGCTCATCCATCCTTCTGCCCATCCTCCTCCTCCTCTTCCTCCTCCTCCTCCTCGTCCCACCACCTCATCGTCCCTCCTCCTTGTCCTCCTCCTTCTCCTCCTTCTCCTCCTCCGCCTCCTCCTCCTCCTTGTCCCACCACCTCATCGTCCCTCCTTCTCCTGCTCCTCCTCTTCCTCCTCCTCATGGTCCTTCCTCCTTCTCGTCCCTCTTCCTCTTCCCAGCCCCAGGTGCCCTTGCCGACGTCCGTGATGAGGCACCACAGGCCGCGAATGGAGGACGCGACACGCCCGTGGGCCTGGGGGGGATATGAGGGGGGGGGGGGCGTCGTCTCTCGCCCTCGTTTGCCTCCTCCTCCTCCTCCTCCTTCTCCTCCTCCTACTCCCCCTCCTCCCTTTTCTGTTCCTCCGCCTTCCTCTTGTCTCTTCTCCCGCTCCACGGGGCCATGTGCCCCGAGCACCTCTCGGAGGACTCCCTCCGGGACTTCCCTGGAGGCCGTCGCCCAGCTCGCCGTTGCACCTTCCGTCCCACCTGCCACCCGCAGGCGCCGCAACTCCCGCGGGTAGACCAGCGGGGCTCCGTGCGGGGGCGTGCTGCGCTAGACTGACCTGCCGTGATCACCTCACTCGCCTGACCTGGCCTTGGGCGCCTGGCGGGTAGTCGCCCTCCGCTCCGCTGTCACACTGGCAGGGGACGGAGGTCCCGCTCCTGCTTCGCCTCCCTGGCCGCCTTGCACTTGTGTTAAGCCACGGGCAAGCTGTCGCTTTCGGGCCCCATGGTGCGGCCCACGCCAAGAGGCCCCCAGCGTCAAGGGCCTCTCGCGGGTGCCAGCCAGGACGGCCATCACGCCGTCTTCCGGCCTGGGCGCGACGCACTCCCCTCGCTGTCCTCGCCCCTCTGCTGGGCTGCTGATGCCCGCCCGCCCGGTCCGCTGTCGCGCTGCCCGTGGGCGCGGCCTCCCCTCCTGCTCCTTCTAGGTGCCAGCGGCCCGACACCGTAGGTGCTCGTTCCCCCCTCGCGCTGCCCAGCTCGCCGCCGCTCCAGCTGGGTTGTCCTGGAGGTGGCCTCGCCCCTCCTCTCGGCTGCCTGCCCTCGTTGTCCTGCCCACGCGACCCCACTGGCCGCCCTGCTGGTGCTGCCCCACCTTCTGTGCCTTCGCCCGCGGGGTCTTCCGCCGCCCTGTCACTGCCTGGTGCCTCTCTGCGCTTGCATCCTGCTCCGCCTTGCATCGCACGTCTTGTACCGCCTCGGTGGTACTCAGCTCCCTCCCCGTCCCGGCCACTGCTCTGTTTACCGGCCGCACGACCTGCCACTGCCGCTTTCATGCTCCACCGTCGGCTCCGTTTGTAGCCGTCCCCGCCCGTCTCCTCACTCGGCTGTTCCCCCCCCGTGATCTATGCTTGCGCAGCGCGGTTCCTTATGGGCGAACCCTGCGCTCCTTTGCCTGGTGCCCCGTAGGTCCCTTCGCGCTGCGCTCTCTACCTGCCTGGCCACGCTGCGTCGCTGCGTGCGGGGCCGCGACGCGGAGGAGGAGGAGGAGAAGGAGGAGGAGGAGGAGGAGGATGGAGGAGGAGGAGGAGGAGGAGGACGAGGAGGATGAGGACGAGGAGGAGAAGGAAGGACCAGTGTAAACCCAAGAGACATCAACGATGTTGGAATTAACTCTCCCTCCAAGCTCCCTCTTCATAGGCCCCTACAACGGTTCACTTTCATTGGGGCAACTGCCTCGTTGGAAGACAACCGTTTGAAGACCTTGCAGCATGCCCAAACATTGTTCTCGGGATTTCCACGCCAAGGATCAACTTGACTGCTGCGTCCTGACAATCTGGAATCGTGTCAGAACAACATTTTCGGGACTTCAACACTGCGAATCAACATAACTGTTGCGCCCACATAATCTAGAATCCTTCCAGTACACAGTTTCTGGTACGTTGATCATGGGAATCCGTGGAACTCTTGCATTTTTATAACGAATGTGCGTGGCGTTGAGGCGAGAGCCGCATTTTGAAGAGTAACCACTTTCAATCCGTGAAACTTTTGCAACATTTTAAAATGAATGTGCGCGGCGCTAAGGCGACAGCCACATTTTGAAAACGACCCGCCCTCAATCCGTGGAAACCTTGTACAATGTTATAACGAGTGTGCGCGGCACTAAAGCGAGAACCACATTTTGAAAACCTCCAGCCGTCAATCCGTGAAGCCCGTGTAACATTTTAGAACGAATGTGCGCGGCGCTAAGGCGAGAACCACATTTTGAATACCACCCGCCCTCAATCGGTGAAGCCCTTGCCATTTTTTCAAAAAGTTTGCGCGGCGCTATAGCGAGAGCCACATTTTGAAAACCACCCGCCCTCCATCTGTGAAGCTGTTGTCATTGCTTAAGCTTCAGAGTCATATATGGTGAGGAAGTCTTGAACTTGCCTCGGGGTGCGACAGGGAAACGTTATTTATAAGTAAAAGAAAAGGAGGAGGAAGAGGAGGAGGAGGAGGAGGAGGAGGAGGAGGAGGAGGACGGACGGACGGACGGACGAACGGACGGACCGACAGACGGACGCGTGTGTGTGTGTGTGTGTGTGTGTGTGTGTGTGTGTGTGTGTGTGTGATTGATTCCTTCAGCTGCACCATCGGGCGCAGCGGGATTCAGCATCATAATTCAGTCGGGGCGGTGCCTGGCGACCTTCCTTGCAGTCCGCCAGGGCTGCGGCGGCAGCCAACCAACGGGGCACCGCCCACAAGCATCATAACGAAAACCCATTGCCCGCCCCGGAGGCTCCTCCCCCTGCCCCGACGGCGACGGGCGCTGGCGGCTCCAGCACCGATGGCTACCCCAGCGCCACTCTGCATGGGGAGGCACCTCTGCCTGCACGGCGGGAGCGCGGGAGCTCTCGCTCCAAGGCATCCAAACCGCCTCGCTGGACACCCGCACCCTCCGGGATTCGCTCACCTGGACTACAGGAAGCAGGGCCAGGGGTGGGTGCGTCCTGAGGACGTCCCAGCAGCGCGTCCTGCACGATTTCCTCAACGCCGAGAGAGATCTGGCGGCCAGGGTCAGGAGGATACAGCAAGCAGGCGGCGAACCCAACGCGACCTGGAGCAGGTATTGCGCTCAGCGCGGCGGCGGCACCGGCGACCCCAGCTGGCACGACGCCACCTTCTTCCGCCGCTTCCTCCGCCAACAGGCCTCGCCACCCCCCTGACTTTCTCCCCCCACGTACGGCGGCGCCACGCGTTGCCGTCGCTCCCACAGACATTGCACCATCGGTGCTCTCGGCTTTCCCCCCGCGGCCCCTGCCTGGTCGACGGGCTCGCCTCCCCTCGGCCCTCCGACCGTGTTCCGGCGTCTCGGGTCCTGGGCTGGTTTTGCCGCCTGCGCCCCCCGCCCTGCCCCCCCGCCTTGCCTGGTTTTCAGGCCCCGCACCCTTCCTTCGGGTGTGACCGCGCTGCTCTACTGCTGCCTCGCCGGCTGTATCCTTCGCCTTGCTCACTCGCTCCGCCCGTCGCCACGGGCCACGACGCCTCCCTCATGGAGTCCGTCGGTCTGCTCTGGCGCACCTTCCAGTGCCAGCTCGCCTGGCCTGCTCGCTACCCTACGCCTCGGACGCCACCCCGCTGCTGTCCCCCGCTCTCCTGCCGGCTGGCGGCCCGCCGCTGCTGGTTCCCCCCCCCGGCGCCGCTTGCACGCCTCGGGTTTGGCCCTGCTCTGAGCGGGTCCGGCTTCTCCGTTTCCTCCCCGTCGCCGCCAGGCGTCTTTTCTTCTTCTTCTTCCTCCTCCTCGTCGTCGTCCTCCTCCTCCTCCTCCTCCTCCTCCTCTTCCTCCTCTTTCTCCTCCTCCTGCATGGTGGCCTAATTCGCGTTCCGTGCACCCCGCCGACGCCTCTTTCTCCAGAGCAGTGACCGCCGACAGAAAAAGTGTGTGTGATTTCCCCTATGGTTGGATCCAGCGCCTTCCTGCCGCGTGGACCAGGCAGGTGCGCGCGCTTCTCTGGCCCTTTCTACGCCGCGCCGCCTCGCGTTGTGTGGGCTTAGAGTCGTTGTCGGCGGCGTCACTGGGCAATCCCTGCACGTGCATGTCGCCATTTTCCTCGTGCATTGGCTCTGGCCCTTTTCCCTGCACGCGTCAGCTATGTCCTGGCCGTACGCCGGCAGACGCTAAGTGGTAGTTGATCTGGGCGTGTCCCGCCCTAGAACACGCTGCGTTGGATCAGCTGGCCAGGCTATAACAAAGGTGGGTGTGTATACATATGTATGTATGTATGTATGTATGTATGTATGTATGTATGTATGTATGTATGTATGTATGTATGTATGTATGTATGTATGTATGTATGTATGTATGTATGTATGTATGTATGTATGTATGTATGTATGTATGTATGTATATGTATATATATATATATATATGTATTAGCCGCGCGCGGGGCCGCTATCGCTCAAAAGTGTGTGCGTCTGTGTGTGAGTGCGTGGATGGGTGGGGAGGTCGCTCCCGTCCGCAATGTTGGGTGGTAGTTACTTGTTTTGAGCGCGTCCCATCCAAGGGATTCGCGACGGTGCCGTCACCCCGCTGGAGGAGGAACGAAGTTCCCCAATCATAGCTTGCCTCTGTAGGGGTCCTAGCGGATTCCTATGGTCAGGGAGGGTGCGCCGCCGATGTCGGCGGCGGGCCTGGGTGCCCCGGGGCCCGGGGGTGCCCGGGTGCCCGGGTGCCGGGGTGCCCGGGTGCCCAGGTGCCCGGGTGCCCAGGTGCCCAGGTGCCCGGTAGCCCTATAGCCTATATGGCCCTATAGCCCTCTAGCCTTGTAGCCCTATCGCCCTATAGCCCCATCGCCCTATAGCCCCATAGCCCTATAGTCCTATATCCCCATAGCCTTACAGCCCTATAGCCCTGTAGCCCCATAGCCGTTTAGCCCTAAACAAAATCGGGTCGTTTTTTTTCTCCGGTAACATGCGTGTGCGTGCGTGCGTGCGTGCGTGCGTGCGTGTGTGTGTGTGTGTGTCGTTTCGCTTCCTCGCCAGCGCAGTGACTCTGCCGAACCGCCGCTGAAAAGTGTGTGTGTGTGTGTGTGTGTGTCCTTGGGGCCCTCTTCAGTCTTATAGGCCTATAGCCCTCTATATATAGCCCTGTATAGCCCTATATAGCCCTATATAGCCCTATATAGCCCTATATAGCCCTATATAGCCCTATATAGCCCTATAGCCCTATAGCCCTATAGCCCTATAACCCTATAGCCCTATAGCCTCATAGCCTTATAGCCCTATAGCCCTATAGCCCTATAGCCCTATAGCCCCATAGCGCCATGCCGTATAGCGCTAAAATAAGTCAGATCGTTTTTTTTCTCCAGTACTATGCGTGTGTGTGTCGTTTCGCTTCTTCGCCAGCGCGGTGACTCTGCCGAGCCGCCGATGGAAAAAGTGTGTGTGTGTGTGTGTGGGGCTTTGGAGCCCTCTTCAGTCTCAGCGACGAGTCTTCTTGGTGTCGGCCCGGGTCTCTGCACCGTCAGCGGAGCCGGCGCGGTGCCTCCTCGCCGTGCGCTCGCGCTGCCGGAGTTGGCGCCCGGCTGCTCGGGCGGCGACCCCCCCCCCGGTGGGGTGCCCGCAGCGCTCGCCGCTCGGGGGCGGGTCGGCGCTCGCCTCCCGCCGCGTGGCCCTGCTCGATGGCCCTCAGGCCGTGCGCTGGCTCAGACGCGCGCTTGGCCACCGAAGCCCTGCAGTGCGACGCGGGCGGTGTGATGAGGGCCGGCAGGCGGCGCGTGGTCGGCGGAGCTGGACGGGGCAACGCACACACACACACATGCGATGCAACACACACACACACACACGGGGCTGGCACACGTTCGGAAGGTGATCGACCTGCCCGCGGACATGGGCCGCGGTGTTGCGGGGTGGACGAGGCTTTGCCCCCCCCCCCTCCCCCCGGAGGCGCGTCGGCGTCGGCGGCGCGGCGTGCCCGCCACTGGCGGACAATGACTCTCTCCTCTTTTCTTTCCGTAGCGATCGTCAAAACACACCCAATCAATGATCGAGAATCCGAGTTCAAAGATGTACAAGAGAGGATAGATGCCAAGGCTACCACCACTGCTCCCTCCTCTTTCTTCTCTCTTCCCTCCTCCAGCGGCACGCGTATGGCGATGCCCATCTCAAGACAAAAGCCTCCTTCCTCTCTCCGTCGCCCCGTCGCGGTTCCCAGTCCTCCTCCCTCCTCCCTTTCCTCCTTCCTCCTCCGCCCTCCCTCTGTCCTCCCTCCTCCCTCCCCTTTCCCCTCTCCTTTTGACATCGTTCCCGCCCTCCTGCCCTCTCTTCCTCCCGCCCCCGCCCCCTCGCCCCCCCTTCCATCCCTCCCTTCCTCCTCCCTCCCTCCCTCCCTCCCTCCCTCCCTCCCTCCATCCATCACCTCCGCTCTTCCCTCCTGTCGTTTTACAGCACCACTGCGCTTACAGAGAGTCCTGGACGTCCTTTCTGCATAGCCCTACTCCTGTCCCCTCCACCGTGCCATCCGAGGACCACGATAATCTGGTGATATACAACGGGACGCTGTACAAACTGGGCTCCGGAATGAACGCCGAGGACAAGAAGGCTCCGCAAGCAGGAGGATGTGGGAGGAGACGATTGTCTTGCACTTGCGAGATCCTGTCCCGAGGGAATTGGCACGCGCGAAGATCCCTCGTTCAGCTGCCAGGCCCCTCAACTGGGGCGGCACCATGTCCGCCTCTGTCCGCGGTATCGGTTACCTCGCGTCCCACTTGATTGCGGCAGAGCCAGAGCCAGAGACATGAGGAGAGGAACACGTGCTGTCTCATTTGAGTCTCGGTGTTCCTTTGAATCGACACGCTGGATGTGAGGAGCATTTCGGATCGGACTCAGTATCATGTTTTCTGTATTCGATGCGTCAGGCACGAGTAAAACGAGCAGGTTGATAAAAGGGATAGCGAAGACGAGGAGTTTAAGTTTGATTTCGAGTTCGAGTTTGAGTTTGAATTTGAGGAGGAGGATGACGGAAGAGGGAGGAGGAGGAGGAGGACGAGGAGGATGAGGATGAGGATGATGAGGAGGAGGATGTGGAGAAGGATGAGGAGGAGGATGAGGAGGAGGAGGAGCTGCGATTGTGGACGGAGATTCCGATCGTGGAGGCCGATGCCGAGCGCGATCCCGCGACGCGGGCCCAGACGCCCAACTCCGCGCTGCCTTCTGCTGCCTCCCGTGTTCTGCTAGGGTCTCCCGCCCCGCGACCGCTTCGCCTTTCTTTCCTTCCTCCTGCCGCCGGTCAATCTCGCTTTCCGTTGCCTGGACCGCTCGAGCGCGCGTGCGGACTGCCTCTGCCGCGCTGCAACGTGAAAACTCTCCTCGTGCCGAGGCCTGGGACAGGAGAGACGTGTGGATCTCGGCGCACGGCCACCTGGGCTACTTCAGCCAGAAGGAGCGCCTGCGCTCCCAGCCGCCGGGGGTGGCGCGGCGGGGCCGTGAGGGGGGCACTCGCAGGCGTGATGTGATTGCGTGGAGGGTGGCCTTGGGAGATGCGCTGACGGCGACGGCGGTGAATTGGCGGTGATGGCGATGAGGGTGACGGTGGTGGTGATGGTGGGCGGTGGTGAGGACTGCGGCAGCGGTGGCACGGATGATGATGATGACGATGAGGATGATGATGACGATGACGATGATAATGATGATGGTGATGATGATGATGATGATGATGATGATAATGCTGGTGATGGTGATGCTGTTGGTGGTGGTGGTGATGATCATAACGATGACGATGACGATGGTGATGACGATGACGATGATGGTGATTCTGATGATGTTGCTGATGATGATCCTGCTGATGGTGATGCCGATGATGATGGTGGTGATGGTGATGCTGATTACTATGATGATTGTGGTTGTGCTGTTGATGATGCTGATGATGATTGCGGTGTCTATGATGAGGATGGCGGTGATGATGGTGCTGATTATGCTGTTGATGATGTTGATGATTGAAAATGATGATGGTGAAGAGGACGATGGTGTGGTGGTGGTGATGATGATGACGATGATTATCTTTATGAGTAGTTTTCGTATTCTTATTCATATTCGTTCTCTGGTTAATGTTATTATGATATCATTCTTTTTATATTATTATTCTTATTTTGATTATTAATACTACCAGTCTTCGTATCATCAGTAGTAATCCCATCATTATCATGTCATATATTATTATTATTATCATTATTTTTATTATTATCATTATCATTATTATTATTGTTATTATTATTATTATTATTATTCTCGTTTTATTATTATTATTCCTATGTTTCGAAATATTCTTGCACGCTCTCGAGATGCCAGCAGGGGTGATGGCTGCCTGCTGTCTCGTCTACTTGGGCCACCACCCCTGCCGAATGCACAGGCGCACCTGGTGGTCTATATGCCTGCTTCTCGTGATGCCGTATCAGTCGGAGATCGCACCCGATCCGAAGTATACGCATCCGTCCCGACGCGATCTGACGGGTACCAGAAGATCTTGGCGTGAGTTGCACCCACTCGATGTAGCGCGCGAGCTGTCCAATCCGAGCAGCTGCTTTTAGCAACGGGAGCGACAGATTTTCACGGGTTCTGCGGATGGGGCTATCTCCTCCTGGCCTGTCAGTATCATCCCCAGTTTATTGTTAGCCGCGGCGCCGAAACCTTCAGCGAGATCCGTACATCATTGTCGCCTTCCTCTATCTCCTGCTTCCCAGTCTCCGCTTTCGTCCTCGGCGTCGTCGTCGTCCTCCTCATCCTCCCCCTCCTCCTTGTACTATTCTTCTTCTTCTTCTTCTTCTTCTTCTTCTTCTTATTCTTATTCTTCTTACTCCTCCTCCTCCTCGGCTTGGGGCATTTTTTCGGCCCTGGCCGCCCGTGCCTCTCTTCGGGATCACCAGTCACGGAGCCACGGCTGCCACCGTCAGCTGTCCAAGCCAGCCAAGCCGGTCAGTCCACTTCTCCGCCGCTGTGCCCTCCCATTCGGCCTCGTCGGCTCCTTCCGCCTTCCCTTGCCTCGGGCAGTGCCAGTGGGGGTCACCATTCAGGGGAACTCCGCCTCCTCCTCATCCTCTTCCTTTTCTTCCTCCTCCTCCTCTTCTTCTTCTTCTTCTTCTTCCTCCTCCTCCTCCTCCCAGAATCGAGGATCGAGGAGGGGGGAGGATCGAGGATTGAGAAGTCTTTGGTTGGTTTTGGTCGTCTTTGGGAGTGTGCGGGTTTGCGTTTGCTGGGCACTGTCTGGCCTGCGCGCGGCCGCTGCCTACCGAGACATTCGACGTCGTGGAAGAGGCATTGTCCGAGCTCTTGGCGCAATCCCTGCACGCGGGGGCGCGCTCCAGGCAAGGGGATCGACGGGGCTGGCGTCTCCCCTTCGCGGGCTGTGGCGGAAGGGCGGCGGAGGCCTGCGGTAAGTAACAAAACACATCGCGAGAGCCGCTCTATTGGCGATCGTTTTTACCTAACAGCGGAGACTGATAGGTTTCTAGTAGGGTCACAAGAGAGCATCATGACGCCCCAGGGGGGTATGGGCGCGATCCAGGGGGGTGCCGGGGATTTTTTAAGCCAACAGTTGCACACTTTGTGGTCTTCGAGGTCCCAGAACTCCATTCCCGGGCCACATTCTGAATGCCCGGAGCCAACTGTAGGCCACTAAGTGGTCTTCGAGTTCCCAGAACTCCATTCTCGGGCCACATTTTGAATGCCCGGAGCCAACTGTAGGCCACTTCGTGCTCTTCGAGTTCCCAGAACTCCATTCCCGGGCCACATTTTGAATGCCCAGAGCCAACTGTAGGCCACTTCGTGGTCTTCGAGTTCCCAGAACTCCATTCCCGGACATGATTTTGAATGCCCGGAGCCAACTGTAGGCCACTTCGTGTTCTTCGAGTTCTCAGAACTCCATTCCCGGGCCACATTTTGAATGCTGAGGCAGGCTGCTGCTGAGGCTGAGGCAGGCTGAGGCTGAGGCAGGCTGCGGCTGAGGCCGATTCTGAAGGCAGACTGAGGCTGAGGCTGAAGCAGGCTGAGGCTGAGGCTGAGGCAGGCTGAGGCTGAGGCTGAGGCAGGCTGATGCTGAGGCAGGCCGAGGCTGAGGCTCAGGCTGATGCAGCCTGAGGCTGAGGCACGCTGAGGATGAGGCCGAGGCTGAAGGCAGACTGAGGCTGAGGCTGAATCAGGCTGAGGCTGAGGCTGAGGCAGGCTGAGGCTGAGGCTGAGGCAGGCTGATGCTGAGGCAGGCTGAGGCTGAGGCTGAGGCTGATGCAGGCTGAGGCTGAGGCAGGCTGAGGCTGAGGCCGAGGCTGAAGGCAGACTGAGGCTGAGGCTGAAGCAGGCTGAGGCTGAGGCTGAGGCAGGCAGGCTGAGGCTGAGGCTGAGGCAGGCTGATGCTGAGGCAGGCTGAGGCTGAGGCTGAGGCTGATGCAGGCTGAGGCTGAGGCAGGCTGAGGCTGAGGCCGAGGCTGAAGGCAGACTGAGGCTGAGGCTGAAGCAGGCTGAGGCTGAGGCTGAGGCTGAGGGCTGAGGCTGAGGCAGGCTGAGGCTGAGGCTGAAGGCTGAGGCTGAGCAGGCTGAGGCTGAGGCAGGCTGAGGCTGAGGCCGAGGCTGAAGGCAGACTGAGGCTGAGGCTGAAGCAGGCTGAGGCTGAGGCTGAGGCAGGCTGAGGCTGAGGCTGAGGCTGAGGCAGGCTGATGCTGAGGCAGGCTGAGGCTGAGGCTGAGGCTGATGCAGGCTGAGGCTGAGGCAGGCTGAGGCTGAGGCCGAGGCTGAAGGCAGACTGAGGCTGAGGCTGAAGCAGGCTGAGGCTGAGGCTGAGGCAGGCTGAGGCTGAGGCTGAGGCAGGCTGAGGCTGAGGCTGAGGCTGAGGCTGATGCAGGCTGAGGCTGAGGCAGGCTGAGGCTGAGGCCGAGGCTGAAGGCAGACTGAGGCTGAGGCTGAAGCAGGCTGAGGCTGAGGCTGAGGCTGAGGCTGAGGCTGAGGCAGGCTGATGCTGAGGCTGAGGCTGAGGCTGAG